GTAGTTGTGATTTATCCTCCTTCTTGTACGGGCTCGCCCTTCAGTGCCTTCCTCTGGAAGCTTCCTTTTTTCACCAGTTCGGTCACCCTTGAATACCTTTTTTTTCTCCTCTGCCTGTGGTCTTGGCCGTTTGATGGCAGCTGGTCTTGGCGGAACCGGGAACTTCTTTCGTGTTCCTGCTTGGACCTCGTTGCTGGCCGTTCAAATTTTCCTTGTAACTTTTTCCTCCGCCGCTGATGGCCCTTCCGCAGTTCGGCGACATTTGCTGCGGAGAGTCCTGTCGGATGAGTCGATCTTCCGTTTTAGAGCCGGGTTATAGTTGCCGTCATTTCTCCTGGTTCTCTTTCACATACGTCGTCCTTCTCCCTTCTTCATTCTGGGGGTGTTCGTGAACTCTCTTTTCTGGACGGTGGAACGGCTTCTTTTTCTTGTTACCTTCAATTTTTCCGCGGGGAAATTTTCTTTTCACTTGCTCCTGCCTCTTAATGGCTTGCCCTTGTACTTGTCGTTTTTTCCACCTCTGGAGCTTGTGCCTGCGGTGTCTGCCGTGCCGGATCCTGCAAAAGATCTGAAAAGATTTGCATTTTATTACGATCGATAGTAGGGCTTGATTTGATTGATCAATGTTTGCGGAACAGGTTTCACCATTTCTGGCTTTTAACACTACTACAGCGTGAGTTATTTTTTCTATAACATATGGTCCTTCAAATCGTGGAAAAAATTTGGCAGTTTTATCTTCTGGTGCTGAAGAAAGTGAATGCTTAATTTTTAAAACTTCATCCCCTACTTTATAAGTTACTCCCCGTCGTTTCAATCATAATAGAGCTTCTGTTTTTTCTTTGTGCTACTTCCGTATTCTTTTTTTTTATTAGTTTTTCTATATCACCCATTTTAAATTCTGGGGCTCTTTGTTGCACATAAAATAATTTATCTAACGGCGTTATAATCTTTCTTTCTGCCTAAGAAATAACTCAGCAGGAGTTTTTGCCCGTTGTATCATGTTTTGCGGTCCTAAGGGCGAAAGCAAATTCATTGACATAGTTATCCCAGCTTTTATGAAAATTTTTAACATAACTACGGATAATTTTCACTATATTTCTATTGACCCGTTCCGCTATATTTGATTGCGGCCGATACGGGACCATTTTTAAATGACGTATGCCCAGTTTTTGGCACATGTCTTCAAATATATTACTTACAAATTGAGGACCATTATCCGATATAACTTTTAGGGGCGCCCCGTATTTTAAAATATATTTATTTAAAATAGAATCAGTAACTAATTTCGCGGAGGCTCGTTTTAAGGGAACAATTTCGGTCCACTTACTAAAATGATCAACCATAACAAGGAGATAGCGACTTTTATTTAACTGACTTTTTGGGAAAGGGCCCAATAAATCGATGCCAATTATTTCATTTGGAAATTCGGATTTAATACTATTTAGAAACCCGGCCGGGCGGAAATTAATATAATTAACTGCTTGACATGTTGGGCAGGACTGGACATACGCCCTTGTTAACTTTTGCAGTTCAGGAAAAGTAGACTGCCTCGCGTACGCGTTGGATAGTTTTTCGAATACCAGCATGAGAAGCTAAAGGGCTGTCATGGAGCTCCTGCAGGATATTTAATCTAAGACTAGCTGGGATAACAGGTCGAAATTCGTTGTTGGAATTTCGTAGTTTTTGTATAAAATAATAGACCATCTATTAGTTCGTAATGGGTCGCCCTATTTCTTATCGCCACAATATCTTGGTGGCTAAAATTTTCAGGATCCTTCAAATACTCATAAATGTTTCCAAACTCAGGATCCTTACCCAGTTCGGTTATTACAGTTTCTCGGGAATTTATTGTACATGCTGTGAGCATTGCCACCTTTACGGTATTACCTTGTTCGTCTATTTTAATTCTTGATAGGGCATCTGCTACGATATTTTCCTTTCCGGGGGTATGCTTGATTACCAGATTATATTCTTGTAAGCTTGAGTGCCCATCTTATTAACCTTGGGGATAAATTTTTCCCTGAGTACAATCTAGTTACCGCCGCATGATCAGAGTATACACTGTTATCGGCGCCTTTCCAAAATAGACTCGGAACTTTTGCACTGCTAACAGAACTGCAAGTGCCTCTCTCTCGGTCGCGGAATAGTTTCTTTGTGTTTGATTTAAAGTTCGGCTAAAAAATGCCACGGGCTGCTGATTTTGCGAAAGTACCGCTCCTACCGCATAATCCGAAGCATCCGCTGAAATTTCTAAATTCTCATCCTTTTCAGGAAATTTCAACACAGGGGCTTGCGTTAATGCTTGTTTTAATTTTTCGAAAGCACTATTGGCTTCGGCCGTCCACGAGAATCTTGCCTTTTTCCTTTTTAATTTTAACAATGGCTCCAGCGATAGCCTGCAAAATCTTTTATAAAGGACCTATAATATGAACAAAGTCCTAGAAAAGAAGAGAGCTTCTTTGCCGTGTTTTGGAGTCGGATACTTTTGTACAGCGATTATTTTTGATTCATCTGTCTCGATTCCCTTTTGAGATATTTTTGTAACCTAAATATTTTAATTCAGGGGCTGCAAATTTGCACTTTTCGACATTAACTTTTAGACCGGCCTCATTTAATAAAGAAAACACCTGTCTTAAATCCTGTACATGTTGGTCGAGATTATCACTAGTAATAATGATATCGTCTAAATAGATAAATGTGGACTTTCCAAGAACAGGTCTTAACACAATGTCCATGCATCGCTGATATGTTGCCGGGGCCCCTGAAAGGCCAAACGGCGTACGCAAAAATGCATATGTGCCAGACTTTGTTATAAAAGCAGTCTTAGGCACGTCTTCAGGCCTAACCCCTATTTGAAAATAACCAGTCGTTAAGTCTAAAGTCGTCATAAATTTGGTAGACGTTATGTTCCTTAGAATTTCTTCTATGATCGGTAACGGATATACCGGATATTTAGTTATGGAGTTTAATTTACGGTAATCAATAGCGAATCTCCACCTTTTTGGATGCTCCAAAGGATAGTCATTATTTTTCTTACATAAAACCACCGGGCTAGCATAACTACTTGAGATGGGCGTTATGATCTTTTTACGTAGCATATCGGTAATATGCCATTCTATAATTTTTTCCTTATTCTTATCATACCGGTATGGTTTTTGGACGAACTGGCATTGAATCTCCGGTGTCAATACTATGGTTAGTAACCTGAGTAAATCCTGGAATATCACTAAATAACGAAGCAAATTCACTTACCACTTGTCGGATTTCTTCCTTGCTCTCATTAGGGCAGGTGGTCAAGTTTTAACATCGGCGGTTTCAGCGTTTTCTGTACGAACTGGTTTCATTGTCAGCTTAAGGGACGCTTCATTAAAATCCAGCGTAGCTTGTGCTTCTGAAAGAAAATCTATTCCTAAAATTAAATGTGCTTGCAGGTTCTTTACTATAAAAAACATCACCTTTACTTGTTCGTCCTTGATACGGATATACAAAGGTACTTTACCTACGCACTTACATTTTTCTCCTTGCGCCGCTAACACTATCGTATTATCCGCATTATATATGCGGTATTTGCGAAAATATTTCCTAAACAAATCTTCTGCCACACAGGAACACTGCGCGCCGGTATCCAGCCGGTGGATATAAAGGTATGCTCATTTTAAAATTATTTTGCGACATTGCTATTGAACTGAATTTTATGGATTAAGTGCAAAAATTATGATATTTAATAAAGGTAACATACAAAATGTTAAAAAAAAGGCCCCTTTGGACGTAATTTAAAATCTGATACCTTCCAGATTTTTTTTCCTTTAATTACTAAAGACTGAAATGGAGAAAAATCGCCAGAGTTAACACTCTAGTCATGAAGCAATTACACTGTAGCTTGATGTATGTAATAAGTTAGTCATTAAACTAAACCATAGTCTCTTCCCTCTAAGATCGGGAGTCCTTGTGAAAATTTAGCAGACAGTCACTTTAGAAAACCACCAACCGAACCAGTTCCAGGTTTGATGTTAATGCAATTTCTTACTTATCTACAAATGGCTTCGTTATCTAATATTAGCTTTAATCCCAGATCGGCCTGAAGGAGATGGCTCCCTGTACTGCTATGCATATTGAATACTCTGCCACAATTTCAAATTTGTTGAAGAGATCACTCCTGTAAACGACAGTTCTGTATTAAACTAATAAAATAAAATAAAACTTTGTTTTTTAAATTAATTAGTTTTCTCATCTCCATTTACATTTAGTGCCAATAGACAAGAATCGTTTTATTCTCCAATCTACTTCGATTCCAAATAGCACAATTAAGTCGTCCAAAAATGACTCACCAAATTTAAAAAAAGAAAATTCATTCACTCATTAAAGGATTTTACACTAGGCATATAAAACACTGAAAAGCTTTAACTTAGTACACCACAAATAAGTGATCTAAAAACTGAACTATCGACATGGTTTCAATTTATAAACAATTGTAACAATTTTGGAAAAGAAATATAATGCAAAAAGCATTTTGTTTTTTCACAAAAATATAACACGAAAATTACTAACCAATTTTCATAGACATTACCCATAGATAAAAAACTGACACAAATTATCTGTTGCTTACAAAAGGAAAAATATTACTTTTATTTAAGATACAGAGATACTTCCCACTTCGCTTAAATAAAGGGATATACAAGGATCAAAATAATTGGGATTCTTTTTCTCCCAAAGGCTAAACATTGTTTATTCGAAAATGTGTTGCATATTTTATAACGCCCTCCATAAATTTACCAAAAAAAATTTAAAAGAATTGGAATTCAATAATTCCAATAAAAATCCATTTTTTGTTATAATTTCACTCAATAGCTTTAAATAGTCAACATATAGAGTGTTTGATAGTCCACAATCAAGGATTTATATCTTCTCGCTGTCAAAACCTCACTAATAAAATTTTAGTAGTCTGTTTTATTAAATGTACTTTTTCAAGATATTGAATTTTGTAACCTACCTTTTGGCAGCAATGATGGGACCAGCAATAACGACAGCTCTTATACCAGTGGTAGGGTGTGACAAGAATTCTGCCATTGCCCTTCTAACGCTAGCAATGGCATTTTTAGGCTTTTGCGGAGGTGGTCATGTATCTATAGCAGTAGAAATGGCACCACATTATGCTGGTAAGTTGATCAACGCTTTCCAAGATTTTCTTATTTCTGTAGAAAAATAAGAGAATATTCATGAGATTTGAAATGAAAACTAAAAGCTATTCTGGCAGTACTAAAATTTAAGAGGAAGAAGAATGCCAAGGTGGACGATTTTATAATTAATTTTGAAACACTGGATCGTATAACTAATTTTTAATATGTAACTGAAACTTTGATATTTTGATTACAACAGTAACTAATTTTTTATTCAAATTGTAAACACCATATTTAAAAGTTTCTCAACTAAGCGAAGAAATTTCAAGAGATTTCCATATTAATGCCTGATCTCATGTTAGTAGACTTATATATAAAAATGTTTGGAAACTTCAAAATAAGCACAAGCGCGCATGATTTGTTATGATGAGAATTCTTTAGAACATGCAATAATTAGCAGTTTGCTGATATACCATAAAATACTAAATAGATTCATCCTCTGAAAATCAATTTCCGACATGTGCCAGAATTGCCATGGTTAAAACGTCCTAGGGAGACATTAAAGCTTTTAGGTAAACGATAACCCATTGCTATCTGGATTTCCTCAACTGGATCTTATGCTCTCTCCCCAGTCACTCTTTAAATGTGTCCGAGAGATAAGGAATTAATGGCATTCCTCGTATGTGGACTTTTGTAGTATAGTGGTTAAAATTACATTCAAGCTAGCAATAAGATCAGTGGTTTGATTTCTAGAAAGAGTATTGTAAACTTTTTAAGGTTTCCACTTAAATTCCAATTTAGTTACCTGATTAGATTCTGCAACCTCTGACAAACTCTTTAATGGCCAGAAAACATTGGAATAGCATGAGGAATATACATTGCCCATAGTTAATGAGCTGCTTTGATTGGGAAATTTGTCAGCATCTATCCTATATCCCTAATCTCTAGCCATAAAATATTCATGTCTTTCAAACTTTTAAAAAATTTCTCGGAGTCGGCATATTATTACTTAATAAGTACAAGAAAAAGAAAATTCAAACATTTAAAACCGCATCGGTCTCCCAATAGGAAACGTACAAACAAATTTATAACCTTGTTGGGATATATATTTCTGAATGTTAGGGGTGGTTCCCATAAAAGCAGCATTTCAGTCCCTCTGTCACGATCACTGTCAAGTTGAACATCTGTCTAATATTACCTTTGTTTGATATAATTTAGAAAATTACCGTATGACAAAAGTGAAGGTTTTTATATTTATGTTTTGAGCTTGTTCTTTTTATTAGGAAAAGGAGAAAAATGGCTTCGAGTTGCTTTTCACGTGTATTTGAGAATTAATAAGTATTTCCTTACGCCATTCATATTTTGAGTGTTGTTTGAAATGTCAAAGATAGAGTTGTCACTTATTAGGTTTGTAAAATGAACTGTTTGTGCTGTCACGAGATGTTTCATTGAATAATTGATTACACTCATTTCCATTACTAATTCTTCTAATGTTCAAAGGCAAAACGGAACATCTCACGTCCGCGACAGAACACGGCTGCTTTTCACAAGTGAGTGAAAAATATTTTTATATTTTGTTTTTATTCTTTATTCATTATGAGAACTGCATTGAACTAGAAAACAACTTAGAAGGATGTTTATTCGAGCATGTAATTCTTTTGATGAAGAAGAAATTAAACTGAATTTGAAAATCAACTTGAAAGTAAACTCCGTTCACTTGAACTAGTAGGGGTTACTAGGGAAAAATATGCTGCCATATTATTTCCTCTAGTTGAATTATCATTACTTGAAGAAACTCTTGTTGCTTGGGAGCGCTATCTCCCAAGCAACAAGAGTTCTGTTCATCGTTGAGTTCGGATGATTCAAAGCAAAATAAAACTATAATTGAGAAAAGTGATTTAGAATGTATTTTAAAATTTTTACAAGATGAAGTTGAAGCTGAAGAACGCATTTTCTAGCCTCTCGAAGTTTCAACCCTTCAAACTAAAAAGTGGAAGTAAATTAGAATAATTTTTGCAATAAGAAAAAAGTGATAGATAAAAAATTTAAAAGTGGAAAGTTTTCAAATATACCTAGTGCGACAGATCTTTGAACTTCATCTCAAGTGTCAAAACAGTGTATATTCTGTTCTAATTCACATTATTCTGCAGATTGTCTAAAAGCAAGAAAAATACTTTTAAGGCAGAGGTAGTCACTTGTTCAACAATCTCAAAAGTGTTTTTTTATGTTTGAAATCTGGACATTCAGTCAAGGACAGTAACTTGAAAGCTGGTTGCTTGTGTTGTGGTAAAAAACGCCATATTCTTATATACACCAAATAACTGTGCCGAATAACGAAGAATCACCCGAAGTTGAAAAGAAAACTGAGATTAGTGCTGAAATGAATCAAGCTCTTTCCAACTTAAGTATTCTCCAGACGTAATACTGCAAACATTCAAAGTTATAATTAGAGGTAAATGGGAAAAACATGTCGCAAGAGCTATTGGCGATACAACTTCACAGCGATCGTATTTATGAACTCGAGAAATGAACAATGAACCTCAGAATTGTGAATATTTGCAACACTCTTTAGTTGGAGGGAAACATTCAGGGATATCCAAACACGATATATACACTTTGTATTTATCAAGTGTGCACGGGAATTATGACTGTAACTTTAAAGTTCTTAGTCAACAAATTATTTGTCAGTGCTGCCTCTTCTCAGTAAGCTTTGTCTGAAGGAATTAGCTACTTGCAATATACTAAATATTGTGGATGATTGTGAATATCCTAATGAAATCCTTATTGGAGCTGGATGTAACTGGAAAACTCATGACAGGTGGCCGTCGTGAGATACCTTGGGGTCTCGTATCCATCCAAACGAAACTTGGATGATCAGTTATGGGACGAATACCCAATACTTCGAGAAGCGAGTGTACATCATCACAATTATTTACGTCCCTGCTGTCTACAGTGGAGACGATATCATATTTATGGACCTTGGACACAACTGGCATTACTGATCCATCAATCAAGAAAAGCCAGATTGAGTTGTAACAAGCTGCTCGATTACATTTCCTAAATACAGTCCATGTAGTAAATGATCGTTTTGAGGTTGATTTTCCCTGGTCGGAAGATCATCCGCCACTGCCAGATTATTTTGATTTAGCCGAGAGGAGACCGAATAAAACTGTTAAACGTCTTAAAACCGAATCTAATTATGAAGCTTATGAAAATATTTTTAAGAAATGGGCTAGAAGAGGGAGTATTTGAAGAGGTTGCTAAAAACGATCAAGGTCAAGTTCTTTACCTTTCTCATCGAGAAGTTATCAAAGAGAATAGTACTACAAAACTCCGACCAGTGACTATACTTCGCCCAAAGTAAAGGGGTTTCCTAATCTTAATGACTGCTTAGAAAAAGGTTCAAATATAATACAGCAGATTCCGAGTATTTTAACACGATTTCGAAAATAAGAGGTAGGTGTTGCTGCTGATATATGAAGAGCATTCCTACAAATAAGTGTTTCACTCATTGATAGATTTTTTGAGGTCATTATGGCTTGATAGTGACGATCATCTGAAAGAGAAAAGGCACTGTCATGTAGTTTTTCGTGTAGCAAGCAGCCCTTTTCTTCTAAACTCTACTATTCAGCTTCACTTACAAACTGTTTTATTGGCAAAAGAAACTGGTGAATCCTCATATCCAAAAAGTGTCATTCAAAAACTTATGCATAGTTTCTATGTGGACAACTGTGTCAAAAATGAAAACGAACTCAGTCTTTTCATGAATGTATGAACTGAAGTAATGGCTGAGAGAAAATTGGAGCTTAGAGAGTGGGAGTTCAATGATATTTTAATGATGATGCTTCTGGCTGATACGAATGTGCTCGGTTTAATATAGAATAAACAATCTGACACTCTAAGAATAATACTGGTAGTATAAAAGAGTTGTGTTTTGAAAAAGCAACTAAGCGGTTAATCTTATCGACAGTTCATAGATTGTTTGATCTTCTTGGTATATGTTGTGCTGTCATCTTTATCCCTAAATTATTGCTTCAAGAAATGTGGAAGCAGAAAATAACATGGGATGAAGAAGTTGATACCTGTACGAGAACTCCACTTTTAAAATGGCTGAAAGATATTGGCAATATACAAATGATCCGTTTTCCCAGATATTTTGGTTCAAAGAATACAAGTGAAAATATTTCAGTACATAATTTCTGTGATGCCAGTAAGCATGCTTATGTCATGCCGGCTTTCATCCGAATAAAAACTTTTGATTCTGTCAAAGTACAACTGATGCAAGCCAGGAGTAGTGTTGCAACAACTGGAAAAGAAGAAAACTACTATCGCGAGATTGGAATTACTTGTAGCTACTATAGCATCACAACTTTCGTCCTCAATTTTATCTGAGATACAGAGTGAAGAAGTTTATTCTTCACTCACACTTACAATTCTTCCACTATTTTAACATGGACAATGAAAGAAGAAGACTGGAATGTTTTTGTCTAGAATAGAGTGACAGAAATAAGAAGACTAACAAATAAAAATTCTTGGAGACATATCCCTGGTTGCATGAATCCGGCTGATCTTCAGAGTAGAGGTTGTTGAGCTCTCAATTTATTGAAATTTAATTGGTGGCTAGGTCCAAGTTGGCTTTACTTGCCTGAAGAAAACTGGCCAAAAGATGAATTAAATTTAGATAAGAGTGAGATTGTTAAAGAAAAGAAAAAGAGCATGGTTTCATCTGCAACAAAATGTTTAGTTTCTGCATTCTTGGTTACCAAGAGAGATTGGTATTACATGTATTTTTCCAAGTACAAATAGTTAATCTAATTGTATGGATCCTAAGATTCGCCTACAATTGTCGATCTGAACAAATTGACAGAAAACATGGAAACCTTAATTATGATGAAATGTTTGAGGATGAGAGGTTATTGATTAAAATGGTTCAAAAAGACTGTTTTGTGGATGAAAAGGATGAGAAACTAAAACCTTTAGGAGTAGTCAAGGATGAAAGTGGAATCCTCAGACTGAAAACTAAATTTACCTTTTGCGAAGATACAGAAGAATTTAAAATGTCAGCTATTCTTCCATCCAATCATGAGGTTGTCAAGAGATTAGTGCGATATTATCACAAGAAAAATGCGCACGCGGGTACTGAAGTTTTGATAAATATTCTACGAGAGAGATTTTGGATTCTGAATGTTTGTAAAACTGTGAGATCTCTCATTAATCATTGCACAGTGTGTAGAAGATTTTCTGCAAAGAAACCTAGAAACTTGTACTGCACCTCCTCCAGAAGATATACTACCAGAAGCAGCTATATATTTTTAACCGAGAAGGTGGGATACGAAACTCGTAAATATTTTGCCTCTGATGACGTACGTGAACCTCAGATTCAAAAGAGTAGAGCAGGTCGTACAATCAAAGTACCTAAGAGACTATTTATAATTTTCTTTTGTAAGTTAAATTTTTAAAATAAAAAATTAACTTAGATGGAAGGATGTCAAGTTGAACATCCATCTAATATTACCTTTGTTTGATATAATTTAGAAAATTACGTATGGCAAAAGTAAATATTTTTATATTTATGCTTGGAGCTTGTTCTTTTTATTAGGAAAAGGAGAAAAATGGCTTCGAGTTCCTTTTCATGTGTACTTGAGAATCAATGAATATTACCTTAAGCCATTCATATTTTGAGTGTTGTTTGAGATGTCAAAGCTAAAGTTGTCACTTATTAGGTTTGTAAAATGAACTGTTTGTGCTGTCACGAGATGTTTCATTGAATAATTGATTACACTCGTTTCCATTACTAATTCTTCTGATGTTCGAAGGCAAACCGGAACAATCACTGACTCTGGTTTCTCTTTATGTCATTAATATCAGTTTATATTTCATTTGAAAAAATAATATTTATATAAAGAATATTTGAAGTCATATTTAAAGTACTTCTTTACTATGTAAAAAAATGTAACTTCAAGAAACAATTAAAAATATTTGCAATTCAGAATCTAATTTTTTATGATGCTTACAAGAACTCTTTTAACAGGCTATATGACAATAAAGCTATGTAAGATGATAATTAAGTCGTAGAATGACATCTTTTTAGCTACCTAGAATGAGACATAATCATAACTTAGTTCAAATATCTGCTAAGTGAAAAAAAAAAACCCCCCCCCCCCCCCCCCCCCCCCCCCCCCCCTTCCCCCCCCCCCCCCCACCCCCAGTTACCCCCCCCATCCAAACCATTAACTTAAAAGTCAAACTTTGAACTTTTTTTTTTTTTTTTTTTTTTTTTTTTTGTTTTTTTTTTTTTTTTTTTTTTTTGTTTTTTTTTTTTTTTTTTTTTTTTTTTTTTTTTTTTTTTTATTTTTTTTTTTTTTTTTTTTTTTGTTTTTTTTTTTTTTTTTTTGATATAATTACATAATAATACAAATAATTTTTATCTTAAAAGACATTTTTTGATTTTTTTCTTTGGATTTTTTTTTTTTTTTTTTTTTGTTTTTTTTTTTTTTTTTTTTTTTTTTTTTCTTTTTTTTTTTTTTTTTTTTTGTGTTTTTTTTTTTTTTTTGGTTTTTTAGTTTTTTTTCTTTTTTGTTTTTTTTTTGTTTGTGGTGGGTTTGTTTTTTTTTTTTTTTTTTTTTTTTTTTTTAATTTTTTTTTTTTTTTTGGTTTTTTTTGGTGGGTGTTTTGCCTTTACTTGTTTTTTTTTTTTTTTTTTTTTTTTTTTTTTTTTTTTTTTTTTTTTTTTTTTTGTTTTTTCTGAATTGTTGTTTGATTTAAATGTTTTTTTCAGTGTTAGCTCTTATCTCTTTTTCCATAAATTTATTTCATACACAGCAAATAACTGATCTGAAAAGTGAACTATTTAGATGGTTTAGTTTCTAAGCATTTATAACAAAATTTTGAAAAGCCAATATAATGCAAAAAGCACTTCCCCCCCCAGGAAAAGGGGAAAAAACATGAAAAATTGTTAGCCAATTTGGATGATTAGAATAGCCATTACTCATAGATAAAAAAAATACAAATTATCCCTTGCTTACAAAATGAAAAATATTACTTTTATTTAAATATTTATATATATTTAGGGGTAAGAAAATTTAAAAAACTTTTTAGATGCTGCATGCTTTCAGTTTGTTTATTTCGCATCAATGTAATATTAAGGTACTACATGCTTATAAATATCATCCTCCACTGCATACTGTATGAAATTGGATATTCAAAAATAATGTATTTTTCCTGTTGACGTTTAATTCCAATTGCAATAATTTTTAAATTATAACAAGCTATCTAAGAACTTTTGGGGATATAATATACTATAAAATCTAAAAAATCTAATCTAAAAAGGCAGAATCTAAATCTAAAAAGACAGAATTTTTCAATTTGAATTTAAATTAGTTTTCAGTATTTTTTTAATATTTTAAATATTTGAAATTTATGATGATTTTAAAATATGTAAACTTGGGTATTTTTGTTAAGCAGGTACTTTTTAGGTATCTAACATTTGAAATCATTAATAAAATACACGTTTTAGCTTTGTTTTCTGTATTTGATCCAAAAACATTTAAATATGATTTTGTCTTTCTTTTGATACATTAATATATACATCTATATATATAAATTATTTACTTTAAAAATTCAATACCCTTACCCTCTAATGTTATATATATGAACATGTCACACTAAAAACAATTCTTTTTGTTTCAAAATTGGGAAAAATATCATGGCGTAAAAAGTTACATAAAATTACACAAATGAAATACAAATCATAGATTTCAAATACTCAAGCCCTAATGAACTACTATATGAAGAGAAAAGTGTTTACGATATACCTATCTGATCCTTTTTCAGTATAGCAGTTAATTTTCGAAGGAATATGCACTTAAACAATCTAAATATTCCCCTTTATTTTTAACCTTTTGATGATCATCAACGAGCTCAGCTTGCATTCTAATTACTCACCTCAGTGCACACAAACACGACTCACATTACAAATATATCACTAACAGATATTGCACATATTTGGGAAGAAAGAATTGCTTAATCTCGCAACTACCAAATATAAATTGAATACCAAATATAAATGAATATTGAAAACTCTTTGTTATTCTTATTATTGAACAACATATGGAACTCTATTCATAACTAATGCATATATATTCCTTTAAGATTTATCAGCATAAATCAATTGGAAGAAATATTAGTAAATACTACTTCCCACTGCCCTTAGTACACCGCTACTTCGATGTTCTTCCCTTGTGGTTCAAAGCTTGAGTTTTTCAAAAGACACAAAAATTGTTTTCTCATTTGTGAAATTTTTAAATAAATATTTGGAAAGTTTCATACACTTTCTCTAGTTTCAGGACTTCCTCTTAAAGGGTATATTGTTATTTAACTATAGCAATACTTTACCTAGCTGTTACATTTTTCAAAAGTTCTCTGTCTTGTGCCAATCAGTTTAAAACTACTAAGAATTTTTTCAAACATTAAGGACATACACTTTTTGCTCATCCTATTTCATTATGAATACCTATTATCAGTTATCTCCATTGATAAATTAAAGTGATCAGGTCAGTAATTTTTAAATTTTCTCAGAACCTTAAAAAATAATTAGGTATCCACGAGGAATAGCAAAGAATAGACTGATCATAGATTAATTTATAATTCATCGTATTTAATGTTATTAATGGGTTTCATGAGACATAAATATACTCAAATGGTTTTATAAAGTTTAAACAGAATAGAAAATGTTGAATTAGATTATAAACACTTGAACAGACTTGAAAAAAACGAAACTATTACAATTTTCAGGTTACTTTCAAGCCAAAAGAAATTTCTATCCAAGTATATTTTTAATATTATGGCTAGCATATAATCTATTTTTACTCTGCAGAAGGAAGCGGAAGAACCTAAAATACGTTTCATATTTAATATACGAAGATGTTCTTAAAAGCATTTAAAGAAAAATTCTTTTGTGTTCTTTAGTGTGTATGTGTTTATACATATACATATATATAGAGAGAGAGACAGAAACTTACACCCACACATATGTATAAATTTCTATAATATTCAAGTTTGTAGTTTGTATACATAATATTGCCTCCTATTGTCATTTTTATTTGGGTAAAGTACTTTTATAATTGTCATAAAGTGTATTTTCCACTTCACCTAAACTATAAATAACTCAGAATATAAGCTATAATGCTATTATTAAACAATTAAGAAAAATGTAGAATAGTTACAAATACAATAGTTAGATTATTCAAGGTTTCAGTTAACAAAAGTCTTATACATCATAAATGGCTGCATCAAATGACATCCAGTTATATATATTATCTTATTTTATTTATTCAAAAATCATACGTCATCCATCAGCAAATCATACATCATCCATCAGCAATATACAATAATATATAATGGGCAGTATAGTTTTTTATATTAATTGAATATAATTTTTAAATCCAGTATACGTTTTTTGGAAATTACCGTGTTTCATTTATTTAATACTTTAAATAAATGAAAAATTAAAATCAAACTTAAATAATAAGAAAATTAACAAAAATTCCTTTAAATTTTCATGAAAATGCCTTCTCAGCATATTTTTTACAAATACATATTAATCAGTAGTACAAATAAAAAATTCTACAGACAATTTATTTTTCTTTATAGCATGCCAGCATTGAACAATGGAGGCTAGTCTTTTACATTTCATCTGGTTTTTATATGTTTGGAGGAATAATTTTTGTTTTATGGGCGTCAGCAGAAAGGCAATCATGGGCATATCACCCAACCATGCCAAACCTTTTGAAGATCCACAGCACGGGAAAAGAATCAGAACTGTTCATTAACAAAGTAGATTTTGAAAGAAGCTTCACCTATGGAACAATATCTTAAGCACATTCACCGACAGAAAAATTTTTCATAAAAATTCCAATACACTTAAAGTTTCATACATTAATAACTTTTAAGAATTACAATATATATAGAATGAAACTCCACATATGAAGTAACAGAACTAGTAGTATCCCATAAAAAATACCCTATTAGAACTGAAACTGAAGCTTAAAATTATATATATATATATATATATATATATATATATCATATATTTAACAAGCTAAAAACTAATTTATTATAAAAGTTAAGATACACATTTAAATAATAATAATAAAAATGCAGCCCACAAGAATGCAAAATTTAAGAAACCTACATAAAACAGAATACATTTTGTTAAATTATTTTAAACGAACTGAATTTGTTTCTCTAATGTATACCAAGGGCTGCAAAAAAAAAGGAAATCAAAATCTTTTTAAAGAAATAGGCTTATATTCACATTACACATGGAAAAAAGAAGAAATCCCTATGAAACTAGCACATTCACTGAAAGGAAAAGGGCCTACAACATTATTTTGTCACTTTTGGCACAGTGAGCTCTTTAAGCAAAATTTATTACAATACATTACTATTTTCAAACATTCGGAAATATTTTGTTAAATACATGTTTTCCATTAACTTGCATTCTGTTTAGTATATAAATCTCAATGATACAGAAAAAAAAATTCTACGTATTGTGTAAATATGTAAATAAATTTCTGTGTTTGTAAGTGTTATATTATACAGTTGTTATGTAACAATATCTTTTATAATGTAAATATTGAAAATAAACAAAATTATATAAAAAAGTGTGAAATTTAATATTTAAATTTCTTTAAAAATGGTTTTATTTTGTTACATTTATAGATTGTTTAGAAGCTCAGAAAATATTTTAGCTACACCATCTGGCCTGTGGAATTAAACAGTAATATACTAACTACTGTTTAATTTCAATTTTTTATTAACACTCAGAGATAACCTATCTAATAGAGAACATCTTGAAATTTATTATTAATTCATTTGATTTCCTTTAGCATAGTTAAAACTATTATTTCAACAAAATAAATTCAAAATCAATATCAAAATCTTTTGATATTTTTTTTAAACGAAAAGTAAAAATGTTTCTATTCTCTATAATCTATTTATATGTACTCAATTTAAGTTAATAAATAAATAGATGCTTCCAATAATAAATTAAATTAATAATTATACTTAAATAAATTCAATATTAACATGATTAATACTGGAATTAAAAAGAGACTTATTCAAGACAAATTCGTTTATAAACTTTTAAATCTCTACAAATGAGACTTTGATCATCTTTTGTATATTCTTAAATTTAAGATGTCTTTCCTAAGGCTTTAAAAAATCTGGGAACTTTTACTGCTTACAACTTAATTTTCAAAAAGATGAATGCAAATCAACTGATAACTAATTAAAAATGTAAGTGAAAGAAGATCCTGACAGGGAACAGTCTTTTCAAATAAATGCTTCGAAACCTGAATTTACTATATTTTAACCTGTTCATGACTTAAACTCTAGACCCGGTTTGCATTGTAAACAGTCGAAACATTTGCCTGAGATCATCATAACCAACTTTCTTGAATTTGTAAGGAATAACTGGTCAAAATTCCAAAAAGTTGGATTTCTGCTTACTTATTTGGAGATATTTTTGAGGGAGACATTTTTATGAAAATCTAGAGATAGTGTCACTTGAATGCTTCAGACATCTTTATAAAGGAAAAAGAAATCATTGCAGTCTCACATAAAATTTGTCAATATCTTATTTTGATGGTACAGCATAGAAGAGCCCTTGGTGTTAAAAAAATTGAAGAGTACCGTCAATTTTCTGAAATCAGCAAAAACTGGACTAACATGCATACTGTTTCAATTACTTTTGTGCATTGGCTTTGCACTTTGTATACTGTATATAAACCTTTATATATGTGTGTACGTGTAAGATTTAAAAAACATAAGTAAATTAAAATTCTACCTTACATATGTAATACATTAAATCTTCACTTTAATTTGGGTATTTCCTCTTTTTGTTCAAAAAATAGTAATTGTTTATAATAAACCTTTTTAAACTGCCTCATTTCAAATTAATATCTGCCATTATATGATTTTTTACGTAATACTGGTGGCATAAATGGTTTTGCTAACTGAAACAACCAATAGTAATTTTACAGCTTTATTCATTAACCAATCAAAATTAGTATATTGAAATTGAAACTGATTCACTATGAGCTAAGATTTCATCCCAAACACATCACACTTCTAGTTTCTCTTGTGAATAAGGCGGTGCATTGTTACTCTTTTCTTATCATAACAATATCAAAAACGTAAATGTTATGTTCTGAAACAGCCATGATCAGTGAGCCAAGTTATTTGTGGTCGCAAATGCCATATGGTGCGAGATGGTTATGGCTCGGTGTATATCCTTAAAAGACATGACTTCGTTTCGTTAAACATAACTTTATTCACTCACACCATAATTTCAAACACAACTATCATAACATAACGAAATAAAACAACAGAAAACTACTAAACTAAAATGCGTACACTGCTCAAAAAAAAAAAAAAAAAAAAAAAAAAAAAAAAGGGGGACAGTCCTATATCTCCCGATCTACTGGGCCGATTGACAAAATTCAAATTGCGTTCTTCATGTCTCGAAAGCGCGACTTAAGATATATATTAGATTTATATATAGCACTATTCTAACATAGGTATTTTGACACAAAATCGGACTTTTTCTGAAATAACATACCAATATTTTTACATATTTCGATTCTACGACTCAAATTACGCCTAAATATGAAATTTTGTAAAATTTGGAGCGAAATTTACAGAGAAATTCACAAATTTATGTTGGCACTTTTTTGTCAGTTTGCGCCAAGAATAGTTCACTTGGCGAACTTCTTAATATATGGCAACCTAGTTTCCTTTCCCGTGAGAGAAAAAAAGTCACCATTGTTCCTTTTTTCCAAATAATATTCTTTATATTATATTTTTAATTATAACTTATTATTTTAAGTAATTTTTCTTTTTCGAATTTCATTTTAATTGTTTAAGTTGCATGGTATTTTTCGAATAACTGTTTTAAAAATTTCTGTTTACCTATTCGAACTCGTAAATAAAGGTGCAGCGTTTATTTTTTTTTTCAAATAGTTTTCTTTATATATATTTTTTGCCATAGTTATTATTTTAGTTAATTTTTTAATTTTTATACTTTTATTTTAATTGTTTGTGTTGCATTGTCTCTTCAGATAATTGTTTTAAAATTTTCTATTTATTCCTTCGAACTGAGCATTTTAAATATATTTATTAATATAAATTTTCCGGAATTTGATTTTATTTATTTGAACTGCGTTTCTTTCGGAGGAATACTTTGTAACCAAGACTCCGATGCGTTTGAAAACTGCATATATTAAAAAGAGAAAATACAGTAAAGCACAGTTAACACGCCTTTCAATGTTCCGTTCAGAAAATATATATATAAATAAGAGAAATGTATAACCGACATTTTAACTTACGATGACTTGCATGCACTGCTTTAAGCAGTTTTATCATTGTGCTCATTGCTTTGCACAATTTTATCCTACATTTGGTTTCTTAAAATGTTATTCATATTTTAGTCCAAACATTTTATTTTTGAAATCGCACAAGAATCAAATATCATAAGATTAAAAGGTTTTAAATTTAAAAAAAATACTAATACTAAATTTTACGCAAAAATTTATTTTTTTTCTTAATTTCTTGCTTTTTTCTTCAGGCATTCTACTTTATTCTTGCTCTTTTTCTTTAGGCATTCTGCAAGTATATTAAAAAGTATCCAACTTTTCGAAATATCTTGATATTTCTGACAATCATTTTAAATAAAGTTATCGCCTTCCATTTCATAAAGGCCCAGAAACGGCCGAGCGGTAAAGTCGCTGAACACTGGTAGCTCACTCCGGGATTCGAATCCCGGTAAACGGGCTGGTTGCATGGGCGTTTTCGTGGATTTTCTCATGTATACCGTGTATGCCAGCTGATTTCCCTTAGAAAGTTCTTCACAAAGGCATCCTTCCTTTTAGGCAGATAGCCCTGCTTTGACGTAACTTAATAATCCAATTCAATCCATTTCATCAATATTTGGTCAGAGACTTTATCAGTCTTTAGAGGCTAACCATTTTGAAGGTATGAGATGAAAGGAAAGACTGGTTTCATCAAGAGGTTTTAGTTTATTTAATTATGACAAAGCACACTAGGGCTATCTGCTTAAGGGTAGGAATGCCTTCGTGGAGGACTTTCTAAAAGAAACTGGCTCGTATACACATTACGCATGGGGAAAACCACGAAAACGCCTATGCAGCCAGTCCGTTTGCGGGATTCGAACCTCGGACCGAACTACCAGTGTTCAGCGACTTTACCGCTCGGCCGCTGTTTCATCAGGGCAAAAAAACATCTTTAGGTGACATCCACATACATCACTGGATAAAGTCCTGAATCTTCAAATAATTCGACTGAGAAAATCATGGGATTCTCCGTTTATGATACGATATGATGTTCTATAACGTAATTTAAATTTATGCAACCATATAGTCTAAAACCAGTCGCTCTTCACTTTAATCTGCAATGATATCGTTTTTGTCTTTTCTGTTAATCACAAGCTCAATTGATGGTATTTGCTGGTGTACACGTCCTAATAGTTTCTCTCTTGGAACATCCTAAATTCCTTGAAGTATCCTGAAAGTTATATTCAAAAGCGTCCAACTTTTTGAAACATCTTGGTATTGTCTGACAGCCAAATTTTCCCTTGCAAATTTTTGCTTACTTTTCTCCCTAATTTTCTTCTTTCCTTCTACAGTTATTTTCAGTGCTCACACAAGAAAATTAAGATTTTTCCATTGCTAAACTTATCAGGTTCAGTGTTTCTCCTTGCTTGCTTGGGGAACATTCAAGAACCTGACTCGGAACAGGGAGCTTACTAAAGCTATGTTCAATAAATGTGGGAAGTAGACAAGACACACAGGAAGGGTATACGAAACCCTTTGTTTTTCTCTCTTTACAATAATTTCCGGACTTCGGAATACAGAGACCAACCACTTGTGGTCTGAACGTAAGAATATAAAAATATTAACTAAACTCTAACTTAACTTTGGAATAAAAAACAAGGGAATACGTGGAAGATTGGCCGTATATTAACAGGAAGCCGTATGTAGTATAGAGAACTGTTAACACTATGGGTTTCGGCTTCCTTGTTCCGAGTAACTAAATCTCACTACAGGTCGACTCTACCTTCGGGACGTCGTGGAGGTTCAATCTCCACTATTACCCTCCAGCAGAGCCGCGCACCACCTGGATACGTCACCAGGCAGCACCGGTCGTCAATTGCTCCTGCCAGTCGCTCGGGCGAGCCCGTCGCAGCGGGACATTACCCAGCGACCCCGGGGTAAAACCCCACGGGTTACTAGCACCACGCCGCGCTAGGACGTGCCAGACTCCGAGGCCGGCCAATAAGTGACCTTTCCCAGAGCCTTCAGAACCACCAAGTTCATAAATTTTATACCCCCGTGGCCGAGACTGCCTAGGTACAGATCCTAGCCAGTGTAGCTTCGCAGAGTTCTCTACGTCGTCCCCCCTAACACTACAATACGTTTAAAAATTATCAAGAGGATTAAACCTCTGGCCTGGAAGGCAACCAGCAACCGAGTAAAACTGCTAAGGCAAGTGGCCTGCTTCTACCAACTCCTTCCTCTTCTTGCTTGGCAAAAAGCCATAACTTAAGTACTTGGCGTTCGCCAGACAAATTTGCATAAATAAGTTA